AAAAATGTGCATACCCTTTGATCCAGCAATAGCACTTCTAGGGCTATATCCCAAAGAGATCAAACAAATGGGAAAAGGACCCACATGTACAAAAATATTCATAGCAGCTCTTTTTGTGGTGGCAAAGAATTGGAAATTGAGAGGATGCCCATCAATTGGGGAATGGCTGAGCAAGTTGTGGTATATGAATGTAATGGAATACTATTGTGCTATAAGAAATGATGAACAGGCTGACTTCAGAAAAACCTGGAAAGATTTATATGGTCTGATGCTGAGTGAAGTGAACAGAACCAAGAGGACTTTGTACACAATAACAGCCACGTTATGCAATGACTAGTATTGTTAAACTGAACCCTTCTCAGCATTACAAGGACCTAAGACATCTCCAGAGGCCTCAGGATGGAAAATGCTATCCACATGCAAAGAAAGAACAATGGAAGTCGAATCGCTATCACTTATTTTTACCTTCTGTTGAGTTTTGTTTCATCTTTCTGATGGTTCCTCCTATTGGTTTTAATTTTTACTTACAGCTTCACTAATGTGAAAATATGTTTCATGGGTATGTAAATGTAAAGTCTATATCAGATTATGTGCCATCTTGGGGAGGGGGCGGGGAGAAAAAGGGAGAAACATTTTCATCTCAAAAGCATATGGACGTGATTGATGATAAATCAAAATGAATTAGGAAATTTAAAAAACAAACAAATAAATAAATAAATAAATAGACCCTTCTCAAAAAAAAATAGTGGTACTATAAATATTTTGGTGTAAATGGAGTCTTTCTTTTTGTCAATAACTTTCTTGGGGTATATACCTAGCAGTTGACTCTCTAGATTAAAGAATATAGACATTTTAGTCACTTTATGTGCATAATTCCAAATTGCTTTACCAAATGGTTATACCAGTTCACAATTCCATTAACAGCACATTAATGTGCCTGTCTATCCACAACTCATCCAACATTCATTAATGTCTTCTTGGGTTATCTTTGCCAATTGAGTATGAAGTGACATCCGGCTTATTTTGATTATATTTCCATTATTATTAGTGACCTGAAGCATGGCTGTTAGTAATTGTCCTTTTGAGAAGTTGTGCATTTTCTCTTATCCTCTCCTTTTTCTTAAAGTTGGCCACCTACATGGCACATTGGATAGAGCACTGGGCTTGGAATCAAGAAGACTCATCTTCCTGAGTTCAAATCTGGCTTCAGATACTTACCAGCTGTGTGACCCCAGCAAGTCACTTAATCCTGTTTGCCTCAGTTCCTCATTTGTAAAAATTATCTGGAGAAGGAAATGGCAAATCACTCTGTTATCTTTGTCAAGAAAACCCCCCAAAATAAGGTCACAAAGAGTTGGACACAACTGAAACTACTGAACAGCAACAACAGTGTATGTCTTATTTAAAGTTATATTAATGCTCTTCTAGCTAAGATAGCAACATGAAACTTTCAGTCAAATCAGGTCCTTTGAGAAACACCAGAGCAAAGATGAAAAATGAGTGTGCAATGAAGCAAAAACTATATAAGACCAAAGGGACACAGCAATACACTCCTTCATGAAGTCCAGGATAGGCCAAGAAAATAGCCGGAACTTTAGAATCACTCCAGTCAGAGGTGCATGGAGAAGATATGAAGCCAGTACTCTGTTGGGTCCCAGACCATTTGTGTCACGATATGACACAGTCAATTCCAAAAAAAAAAAAATAGAAGATATACACAAACGCCTGGGGCCTTGCAGAAATCGTGAAGCCAAAGCTATCTCCATCTTGTCACTGTGAACCAGAGAACAAAATCATTTCCTAGTAGGTGACTACACAAAGAAATAAAGAGGGGGGAGGGACCAGGGAGCATATTGGGCAATCCAGAGACAGAGACAGAAGCCAGGAATTGAAACAGAGGTTGAGGGCTGGTCCCAGATACCTGTCTTAGTCCAAGTAGCAGAAAAAAACAGAAACATGGACCAGGTTCCAAACAACCCGGAGACTAGCTGTACCATAAAATCCCAATCCAGAAACTGATTGGAGACGTAAGGAATAAGGGGGAAAAAATCCTAATATAATGAAGAGATATTAAAAGGTAAGAGAAATCCAAGTGGATGAAAGTAGCTCTACAATAAGTACAAGTAGAGTGTTAAGTTGGTTGGGGGGGGGGGCGCAGTGGCAAAGGGAAGTATTGGGCACAGACTCCAAGAATGAATCAAAGAAATGAAATGAGATTTTAAATGAAATTAGAGTTCTTTCTTGAGAAAAAAAAATTGGAAAACAAAGAGCAGAAAACAGAAGGCAGAAAACCATACCCAAGTAGTGAAAACTCAGAGAAATAAAATAGTGCAAAAAAATTCAATGGTTTGATTCTTTTAAAAGAAATTATAGCACTATGCATTTTTATTTTTGCTTTGTCAGAATGTATAATTGCAAATTAAGGGTTTTTGTTTGGGGGAGTGGATTTAATCATTGTTCCAACGTTCCAATTTTCATTCTACATGTGCCTTTAATTTTAAATGTTTTGTCAGTGAAGCAAATTGATGGTTCTGTTTTCTTATCTATTCTGCCACTCTCTTTCAATATAGTGGATTCCTCAATCTGTTAACATTTCATGCTATGATTTTGACTTTAGGTTTATGTTTTCTTCCATTTATTTATTTTGTATTTATTTTCATCTCCATTCTTTTAAGTAATTGATCTGTCCCTGAGTTTAATTTTGCTTATGCCAATTTGATGCTTATTTATTTCCACAAGACCTGAAGGTTTTTATTCTTTTTTATTATTATCATTTAGTTGCCAAAGGGATAATTTTCAGTTATCTGGAAAGCTGATTTATGTGAAACTGCTAATTCCATGATCTTTTAGTAGTTAGTCACTAAATACTATTATTTGTATAAAGGTCTATCTCTAAGTCCCTTTCAGGCTTTAGCCTGGCCATATCTGCGTGTGGAACAGCTGGATAAATAGCCATACAGGTAAAAGAGAGAAGAGCCTTATTGATAACTTTGGATTTGGCCTTGTCTCTATGCCTTTTTCTTCACCCACTCATTTACTCATTCACAAGACTAAACATTGTCCAGAATAGCAGCATCTGATGGGGGTTGTATATCTGACTGAGCAGAGTTAATTGGAGTCAGGTCCATTTGAGAGTATCAGTCAATGACTATGAAACCAGATGGGAGCAGACCTGGGAAGAGTAGTGTGATGGCATCACAAGAGGAATCCTGGCAGAATGAGAGACTTCAGCTGCCCCTTTTTGCATATACCCTGGCCACCAGTATTCCCCATGTTTGCAGCCTTCCACACATGTAAGTTCCTGATATGCACGTTGTCTTTCTTCTCATGTGCACTGTTCATACATGTTCCATGTGTCTGTGCTCCTTGTTGTGGGAGCTTCCCAGCCTGGGTTCCTTGAGAGCTAGGGAGAATCTCACTCACCACTCACATATACGAGACTGGGGCGGGAGGGCAGTGTCAAAAAGTGAGTAGCCAGGCTGAAAGGATATGAAATTGATTGATGAACTAAGGAAGAGCGCTTCCATGTAGCAGCTGTAGCTTCTTAGGGGTACAAATGGGGGGAGGGTTATAACTTTTTAGGCTATCTTAGATTACACAGACAATAAGTGGCATTCCACCACAGAAAAGAAATAGGGAAAGTGTGCCATCTTTTGGGTCCTAGGGGTTGCTAAAGGTCAGGCTTATTTCTGTGGGGAAATGAATTTCTCAGTGGTTAATCTCATCAGAAGATCTTGCACAGGTAATAAATCTCTAAGATAGTGGAGGCCTCCTTCAAGATAGAATAAGTCTGATTCATTCTCCTGCTGCCTGTCGGTGAATAAAATACAGCCTGAGGGTTTTCAATTTTTTTTATTGTTCAGTTTTTGTTTTTGTTTTTCAGTTGTGTCCTACTCTTTGTGACCTCAGTTGGGATTTTCTTGGCAAAGATACTGGAGTGGTTTGTCACCTTTTTTTCTAGCTCATTTTATAAGTGAGGAAACTGAGGCAAGCAGGGTTAAGTGACTTGCCTAGGGTCACACAGGTAGTAAGTGTCTGAGGCCAAATTTAGACTTAGGAAAATGAGTCTTCCTGACTCTAGGCCTTGCACTCCATCCACTGTGCCAGCTACCTGCCCAAGAGTTTCTGTTTATACAGTCCTATAGTTCTGTTTCACTAACCTTTGTGGTTACTTTCTCTGGGGAAATTATTCCCCAAAACTCCTACCACTTGTCTTCATCCACCTTATCCTCACATGTTCTTTACTTGTGCCCATTCTTTCTACAGATATCCTGTGGATTTTTAGGATATTGCACTACTGATTTATGGGAGAAGTGTTATTTCATCACTACTTTGCTTACTACATCATATCGCTGAATTTCTTCCTTTTGAATTCATTATGTCCTCAGGCTGACCATAGAAGGTAAACAAAGGAGTTGGGGGTTATGAACTATAATTTAGAAGACGTGGACCCAAAAATTCCCTTGAACCTGGGGTAGCAATTCACTAGACACTATATGAGCATAACATTTAAAATAACTATACCAATTAAAGCAATTTGAAGAAATATAATCACTAATAAATGATTCAGATTTCTTTTCCCCCACTAATGACCCACTATTAACTACTCTACTTAACCTAATCTTGGGTCTACAGCTTGACTGATTTGAACAGCTCCTTCTGAAACTTCATCAGCAAGTGGGAAAAAAAACCTTGTGAGTTTCACTTCTGCCATGGGCTGACTTGACATTTCTGATTGTCATAGCTTTCTTGGACTGCTAGTTCAGTTTTCATTCTTTGTGAACCCATTTCCTCTCTGTCTCTTTTCATGAGGAAATAACTGTTTTTTTCTCCATTTAGCTTGGCAAAAAACAGAGAGAGAGAGATTATGATCATACCTTGTTGGCACATCAGTGCAATGATTCCCCCTTGAAAATGCTTTTCCATTCATATATTTCCATTCATAATTTTCCCCCTTGCAAAGGAAAGAGCCTCCCCTTAGATTTCCACTTATTAATTACCTTTATGTAGATATAATTAGTCTCCTTAGGATTATCTCTAGCAGTTGTCAAAATGTGATTCTGCTACACCTGTCATCTTCTAACCCCAATACTGCTCACTGGAAAAGATAAGAAACATTTTTGAAGGGCCATTCCCTCTTCCCCCAGAATATTATATTATATAAGCAGAATAGAACATACTATATGGCCTATGTCCTATGTATATGTATGTGTGTGTGTTGTGTGTGTGTGTGTGTGTGTGTGTGTGTTTGAGGAGAAATATGTAGTGGTTTCTTCCAAATCAATGAAGATCCCAAATCCTGTCAGACGTTTCTTCTTGTCTTGTTATTCGAGGCATAGTGAGCTCCAAGACAGTTCACTTAAACTGGAGAGAAGGAAATAACTTCTTTCGCATGTGGTTAATCAGTAAAACTGACCACTACCAGATGTTATCTGAAAGAAATGTTAGTAGAGATTTTTAGTGAGGCTTCACTAGTTAGTTTTGAGATGTATCTCCTACATGGACCCCAGTTTCTCACTAAGAAGACAGTTGAAATACTTCTAATTAGTTTATGTACAATAGGACAAAGGGCATGAGGCCTAAAGGATGCTGGGAATTAGGAACAGGGATAAATTTGAAGAGAAGGCATATTGAAATCAAGAGAAAGGCAATGGGAAAGAAAATGAGAAAAGCTGGTGATCAAGAAAGAATGGGAGAAAGAACAGTGAGAGAGATTGAGGAGGGGAACAGGAGGGAAGTAAAGTGGGGACAGAAAGTGGGGACAGAAAAACATAATGAGGAGAGAAACATAAGAATAGAAAACAACTAGGTGGAAAGAGTGCTAGATTAATTCAGAAGACTAGGGTTCTGGAGTTTATTCAGAGGAGGGAGATCAGAAATGTGAGGTGACTTGATTCCAGGGCATTCCAGAATCCATTGAAGGGCCTGGAAATATTTCATTTGAAGAAGAGGAAATACTCTCTATGAGTGTATGTATGTGTATGTGAATGTGGGAAGGAGCATGCTGGGACATGATTACATTCTCTAAATATTTGAAAGACTCAAATGAAAGAGGAATTAGACCTATTCCTCTTAGACCCAGAGGAAAGAACTTGGGTCAATGTTTAGAATTAATAGAAATACAGGTTTTAGCTCTATAGTACAAAAGGAAAAAAAAACAATTAAAACTGTAATGAAATGTAATGAACTACCTTAGCAGATAGCAAGGTCCCTACCACTGGATGTCCTTAAGCAAAGGTTGCACAATGACTTGTTGGGGATATTGCAAAAGGAATTTATGTTTCAAGTACAGGTTGTACTAGGTGACCTCTGAAGCTGCAGCTAACTCTTTGTTTCTATGAATCTAATCTTAGCTTCCTGGCATACTGCAGCCATGATAGGTGTACTCAAACCTTCACCTCTCCAATCATTACCTGGGCTCTGACTCTCAGTACTTCAATTACCACAGGTCAGCTTTTGCCTTATCTTGCCAGAGTCAAGCCTTCACAGTACCTGACAGCCTGCTCTAGCTATGTAGTTTCTGTACCCCACAAGGAACCTAGATTCTGACCCCAGGTCACTCAATTCTGATAGTTCAGCTTTGCTTTGTCTTGATGGGGTAGTTTGCCATTCCCTCTCCAGCTCATTTTACAGATAAGAAAACTGAGACAAAGAGGGGCAAGTGACTTGCCTAGGGTCATGGCTAGTAACTGTCTGAGGCCAGATCTGAACTCAGTTCTTCCTGACTCCAGGCCAGCACTCTATCCACTGAGCCCCTAGCTGCCCTACTTTTAACTGCCTATGTCTCGGGGAAAAGAAAAAAAAAACCTAGAATCTAATACTATTCATCTAGACATTTATCTACTTTTGACAAGAGTCTGGGAACCTGGGTTTGAATCCCAGCTCTGGTCTTTCTTTAACTTTGGGACCTTGGGCAAATCACTTATCTTTTGGGGGTCTCAGTTTCCTTGTGTGTTGTACCAGATGATCTGTCATCCCTTACAGTTCTAAATCTGTGATTTTATTTTAAGATACATTTTTGGGGGCCATTGCCAGTCATCTTGGCTAATGTCTTGCCTCTGGACTTTGATGAATCTGGATGAAAGAGTGAGGCTGCTCACTTTGTGCAGTTCTGCTTCACTTAAATTCAATTCACTCGCAAATCATCACCTTCGTGGTATCATTGGTTGTCTTTGAAAAAGAAGGACAAACAAGAACAACATATTGATGGGGCCTGGGCCTCTAGGCTACTTACTGGTCTATTTCCATACCATACATTATCTCCTGCACATCTTGTCCTAGCTTTCCTTTTATGTGTTGTTTTTCTTTTTGTTTGTTTGCTCCGCCCCATGAGAAGAAAGGAAAGGAATTGTGTTATAGCCTCACTTTTATAAGAGACTGGGAAAGGTAAAGAACAAAGTGATGTCATGGTGTTGCAGTAGAAAGAGTATTGGCAAAAGACTCAGGAGAAATGGGTTCATTCTAGTCCCATCTCTTCTACTAAATCACTCTGTAACCTTGAGTAAGTCATTTCTCAGGGTCTCCATTTATCTCATCTATAAAATGAGGAGGTTCTTCTAGATGTACTTTAGGGTCCTTTCCAAATCTGAGGTTCTAAAAGTCTGTGGCTTTTTAGTTCTAGGATGAAATCCCTTTCTTTCTTTTTTTTTTTTCCTGTATCTAATGTTGATTTCAAGGGCTATTTATTCAAATCAAGTTTTAAAAGTTGAACAATCATAACATTTTTATTGAAAAGATTCTAATAATTTAGAACGGTGGTGAACTAAATCCTCTAGTCTGTCCACAGAGACTGTTCAGTCCCCTGACATTTAATTACCAGTGACACCATGACCACAGAAATGCTCGTTCCTACTGTCATCCCCTTAATGCTCCACATGACTCATATACTCCCTGTTGGGTCTGTGTTAGGAACAGAAACCTTAGGTTCATCAACAGTCATTTAGGTTTTTTTCCTAATATTTTAAAACAAATTATTTACTTTTGCTATGCAGCAGACTCTATTGTTGCAGGTTCTACCATAAGAAAATGAACTATGACATGAATTATGCTTCTCAAATTAAAAATTAATTATTTTGTTTAGGATTTCTCCTTCACATTGCGCCACCATTTCAAACAACAAAAAATAAAGATGATAGAAAAATGAAACCATTATAACAAATATTCATAGTCCAATGAAACAAATATCCACATTAGCCATATCCAAAAATATATGACTCATTCGACATTCTTTATCCATCACCTCTCACAAGAGGTGGGTGCCACATTTCATCTTCAGTCTTCTTGACTTCTGATTTTTTTTATTTAATTGATGAATTCTAAAGTCTTTCAAAGCTATTTTTGTTGTTTTAAAATAATCTTATCATAACATAAATCTTTCTCCTAATTCTACTCACTTCGCTCTGCATCAGGCCATAGAGGATTTCCTAGCTTCTTCTGAAACTGTCCATTTTATTATTATTTATAGCACAGAACATTTCATCATGTACATAAACCATGATTTGTTTAGCCAGTTCTGAATAGGTGGGCACCCTCTTAGTTTCCAGTTTGGGGCTACTATTAAAAGTACAACTATTAATTTATGGATCTTTTTCCTCTTTCTTTGATCTCTTTGAGATATAGCACTAAGTAGGTATGTAGCTGAGTCAAAGGGTATGCACAGTTTAGTAACTTTTAGGGCAGAATGAAAAATTGCTTTTCCAAATGGTTGGACAAAATCGCAGCTGCAAGAGTGGATCAATGTATCTTTTTTCACAGTCCTTCCAACATTTTCCATGTTCCTCTTTCTTGATTTTTGCCGATCTGATGGATATGAAGTAGAATCTGAGAGCTGCTTTAATTTCCATTTCTCTAATTATTAGTAACTGGGAGCACTCTTTCATATGGGTGTTGTTAGCTTGGGTTTCTGTCCAAGATAACTGTTTGTTCATGTCCTTTGACCACTTATATATTCAAGAATGGTTGTTGGCATTACAGAGTCAAATCAGTTCATTATATATTTTGGTAAGAGACCTTTGAAAGAGATACTTGATGCTGAAGATTATTTTCCCATGTCTCTTCCTAATTTTAGCTTCATTAAATTTGTTTGTGCAAAACTTTTTTTAAAATTGTCTATTTCATTTTCTACAGTCCTCCCTATAACTTGTTTGGTCATGAATTCTTCTCTTATTCATAGATTCCCAAAAATAATTTCATCCTCCCCTCTAATTTGTTTATGATGTCACCTTTTAAGTCCAAGTTATATGTCCATTTGGAGTTTATCTTGGAATATGGCATGAGATATTTGTCCATATCAACATTACATTTATTTCACAAGATATATTTTAAAGACCCTGATTTCTCTGAGACACTGGAAGCTTCTGCTTTTTTGCCCAGAGGGCCTTTGGGCATTTTTCCAGGGTCCTAGTCAATCATCTGAACTTTCTGTACTTCTAGAAGAGAAGGCAAGGGAACTATAATGATTTACACTCTGGAAACCCTGGCCAGTGGCCTAATATTCTGGAAATTCACCTGACTTATTGAGTGAGCATAGTCTATCCTTGATTCTAAAACATTTTAGGATACACTAGAAACCACTTTTCAGCTCTCAGAAGCTCCAATGCAATCTATATGTAAGCTCTCTTCTTTTAAAAACTATATTTTGCCCTTAATTTTAATTCGGGGAACACAATTCATATTGTGGTTCATTTTCTCATAGTAGAACCTGCCATAGTAGAATCTATTGTGAAGTTAATATGTGGCCAGTGCTTCATCACTTGCTTAAGACTATGCCTTCCCTAAAGATAAAAGAAATGTTATTGCTCTTTACCACCCACAGAAGTTACTTTAGCATCCTTTACTACACTGAACCAAAACTTGTGCCATCTTATCTTCATGAATTGCTTGAAATTTAGTAACAATTTCACTTTGGATGCATCTTTACTGAGGTGGATTTTTTTTAAATTTATGCCCATTAGAAGTACAAATGATGATACACATGTAATTAGTGTTATATATAATCATTGAGTCAGCGGATGCTTTATGACATGAAGGACCCAACTACATTCTGAGGTATTTCTCATTTATCTGTCTTGTTAACCTCACCCGGGCAATTTGAGATCA